ATTACATCAAAAGAGTGGCTTTATGGGCATAATTCTAACACCCACCACCATTGAACTCTCTCCCACCCCACACCAACTCAACCCACTTCAAATCTACACCAACTCAACCACCTCTATCTTTATCCTTGTGGGTACCCCTCTTACCCACGTCTATATGCACATCGAACATATTCGTGTAGTTCATCTCAGTTGCGTCTTCGAAAACACTGTTGTTTGGCTTGAACATTGTGTAGTCGAGTCTTGGGTATGAATTTGAAGCATGTATGAATTGATTGGATGTCACATCCCAGCCCAAGCTCAACTCCACCGTAGCACGATATTGTCTGCTTTGGGCCCCGACTACACCCTCACGATTTTGTTTCTGGGAACTTACATGAGAACTTCCCAATGGGTCACCCATCATGGGAGTGCTCTTGTGCGCTACTCGCTTAACTTCAAAGTTCCCATGGAACCCGAAGCTAGTGAACTCCCAAAAGGCCTCGTGCTAGGTAGAGATGGGAATATACATATAAGGATCACTCCCCTGGACGATGTGGGATGTTACATTAGAAATGGAGATTTGATTTGGTAGTAGAATTCGAGAATCAGAGTGACAATGACTTGGTTGTAGTCGATCTAAATAAGTTTTGGCTCGGTGGATGCATGGTGGGGCCGAGTATGCCCATATATAAGGTGTTGAGATCTGAATGGTGGAGATATTAGCGACTTTAGCTCCGAGAACAGATATTGTGGCCACTCCCCAAAAGAGACAGAGGAGGAGGAGGGGTGGGATTATCGTGATATTCAAAAAGTGCACGCAAAGATTTTTCAAACTTTAGATTTTATTTTTTATTTTTTTAGATTTATTATATTTTTTTATTGCCAAATTTTCTTTTTTTTTTCTTTTTTTATGATTTAAATTTTTTGGTGGTCCACGAGCCTGCCATGTTGTCATTTAACGAAGAATTTAACAGTTAGACTGACACACGCTAACCTGGGATGTCCACTTAGACTCCAGATCGAGCTGTGATGGCTGACACCTTGAAGGTGACGAAGCTATAAATTGTAGTGTAGTGGAACATGTGAATAAATTTAAACCTAAAGGTGCCTAATTCTAAGAACTGGTAAGCGGAAATGAACCTGTTTCACACGTGATGTCAGAGTCTAAGTAAAGTATAGTAAAGTAGGGTGAGAATTATACCATTGAAGGTAATCTCCAATACCAATATTTGCCAAGAATCTTCATTGATACGAAAGCTCAGCTACTAAAACCTAGAGGGGCGAAAAACAAGGGTGAGTGAGCATGAAAATAAATTTTTAATAGAACCTTTTTGAAAACATTATAACACCTCGCCGTAAAACAAGTATAGTTTCCAGGATATACATACTACGTATAGTAAGAAAATACCTACCATAGCCTGCAAAATCTCAAGAATTCAATACGGCACAATAATTCGTAAATAGATGCATGATGTCAGTAATCATATATTCTTGCATAAGCAAACGTATCATATCAAGTGCTCATTGACACATGCTGACACACGAGTTCATGTAAAGGTATTCTGACATGAACAGGATTGGGTGTAACAATGATATATGCTTTAGTACTATAATCACGTGAAGACTAACGCTATGCGCATCACATATGAGTCCGAGTTGCCTATTGCAACCTATACGACAGGACTGGCACCTATAATGGATCCAAAGTGAGGGTACGGTGTGATGTGCACATAGATGTGAAAGCCTGACCATGGCCTGGGCAAGTACTAACACCAGTGCAGCAAAGATGAACAAATAACATAAATGTAGTCATGCCACAGTGACTCGACCACTCTAGTCAACATCACATTATTCATGAACATAAATATAAGGCATCCCCTTATAGTAAGCTTACTTGAGCATTTTGTAGGATTATTTCATACTCTCCCAACAATGAGGCATTTCTTATGAACGTTAATTTAATTATGACAATCACGTAGAAAATTCATTAATAAATGTATATATGGAAACTAACCAATATATATATATATATATATATATATATATACTATATAAAGAAAAGACCCACTCACAGATCATGTCGTCAAGTCGAAATCGCCTCGTAGCATCGAGAGTCCTTGCGATATGTTTCACCTAGAAATGAAACCATTTATGTAAATATGTAACGTATAAACGTGTTTTCATACAAAGTACGGCTAATAAAGGAACTACTTTAAAACAGTTAAATTTCGAAAAACGGAGGGCAGATTCAGGTCCGGCATGTTGAGAAACCTAATGAAGGACCTCGGGTTCCTCCCAGCGCCATCGGACGTGCCACCATAAGGTGGCTGCACTGGCAACCATGCGTCGCACACGCCACTCACGGTGGCTCCCTTACGTAAGCCCACGTGCCTGCGAGTACCGTCATACTCGCCTTCCTCGTGAGAACCTGCAGTTTGCAGGTTTTTGCTCCGACTTCTAGAGCTCCTAACAAGCTCATTGCTCAACCAAAGTCAGTGATTCAAGAAACAAATAAAGCTAGGAATGTGAGGAACAGAGCTATACCAATTTAAGGCTGAGGCGAGGTCGGCATTGATCGAAAAAATGGCATGAATATGGTCTGATGGCCATTGTTCTCCTAAAAAATCTGGGGAGTTTCTTTCCCCAAATCATTTATGTATGAAACCTCACCAAAACAGACATCTAGCTTTAACATTACTTCTAAATCATTACATAAGAAAAGGCTGAGATGATCTAAGGCTTACCTTGGTAGGAATCTTGAAAAATCTTGCTAGAGTTAGCTTAGTTAGGTGATGACACTGTTGCTTTCTCCATACTAATGGAGGTAGAAGGTACGAGAAAGGGACTGAGAGTTTGGAGAAAAGTTTAAGAGGAACACGGATGTGGTGGTGGTCGAGTGAAACATCATCACCAAGGTTTAGTTTTTGGACAAACCTTCTCGGCCTCTCTGCGTGTGCAAAGGAAGAGGGAGTCTGAGAGGGATGAAGATGAGAGCTGAGAGGGTTATAAGGAGAAAGTGACGGGGCAGCCATTTAGTGGAGCAAATGAGATGGGGAAACTTGAAAATGAAGGATAGGTGTCCCGAGAAATAGGGAGTCTCAGAGTGGTGAAGGAATGAGGCGTGGGCCCCACATGTCTCACAAACAACACAAAATATTCCTAAACATGAAATTGCCAATTTACCTTCGGTATTCAATGTTTTGTAAAATTTTAACCGTAACTCCGATTTCTATTCTAATTGCGCCTATGCATTCGTACCGTCTAGTACTTCGAGAATATGACAAAAATAGTAACTTGTACGCGTCATGAAAATACGGTCAATGGAAGTCAAAATCCTTGCCTCTAGGGCATTCTCGTCAACTCACTTTTTTAAAATTAATAAAATCGTAAAATTAGAGACGAGTTATCACATAGACTAACAGAAATATGATTTTGGGAGTAAATCGTAATTTTAGGTATGAAAGTGAGATAAAAAAATAAATAAATAAAAAACTTAGAGTAGCAAAGTGAAAATTTCACAATTTTTGAGTATAATAAAGTGAGAATTACCTAAGAAATAATTTAGATTGGGCTACATTATGCTAGGATATGAATTGAAAATAATATAGATTGACAAGTTGTGTATTTGATCGGGTGTCCTTTCTCTTCTACAAAGCTTGTATTTATAGGTTATGATACATCCTAACACATTTGACTTACGCTAATTAATGAAAATCTTCCTTAATTAGTAATAGTTAATATTAGGTAGGTTTGATTGTGTAAATCATCTAAATTCTGACCTTTTAGAGCAACTTTCTAATATGGTGGCAGATGATGTATCAATATTCTCAATTTTTTATTTGGTTTTGTATTATTCCAATTCTAACAATTTTTAAATTAAAATTTAACTTGTTTTTATTTTTATTTTTATCAAACGATAAATTGTTAGATTAGTCACCAACGAAATTTGAACCGTCGACGAGATTAGATATTTTGTAATGTCTTATTTCAAATGAATAATGAAAAACACTTGGAAATCTTTACCCAATAGAGGTGCGTGCCACTAATCCACATAATAATGAGTGCAAACTATGAATATTGCATTGGCCTTTATTTTCTTCCCAGGAGGATCATCACCGGATTCTCTTTGTGAGGATCCTCGCCAGATCTTTCAATCACATATGTTCATCATATATCATGCGGTCAGAAATCATTGTAAATTTTTTTATTTAAAATTGAATATAAATAGTACCTAATAAAAATTGGTTGCACGATATACGATTAACATATGTGATTGATGGATATGCAGAATCCTCACAAAAAGGATGCGGCCAGGATCCTCTCCCCTTTTCTTTGAATGAATATTGTCTTGTCGGTTATTGCGGTGCTTGTCTTGTAAATGCGTCACAAAGAAATTCCTTGGGAAAAAAAAAAAAAAAATCAAATTTCCAACTTACTTTTGACTAATTTTCCATTTGTCTCCTCTCCCACAACCTTTTCTCCACCTCTCCTCTCATTAGTCTTTTGACAAGCTTAGCACTTTCTTAGGGCACAACTTTTCTTTCAACACAATCTTACATGAAAAGCCCATAACTATTCTTTCTCATAAGAAGGGAAATATTAATACCAAATTAATTAAATATATCAAACAAATTTGTTTCTTATGCTTGATGATCATCTGATCTAATAATATAAGATCAAGTGGTTGTAAATTTGTTTCATATGGCTTGTACTTATGTGAACCAACAAAAATCTAGTAATGCGTAGTGGCATAGTGCTATTCACAAACCCCTTCTAACTTTTCACACAAATTTGTCTATTGATCTTTTTAATTCAGTCAATTTGATTGTCGAAAATTGAAAAAAGTGTGCGAGAGATAAAAATACGTGATTATCATCATCTTCTTTAATAATTTAGAACACAAAAATATAGACAATCTCCACAGCTGTCACATAGAAAGCGCCGTTTGAGCCTAAGCAAGCAAGAGTTCGAGGTCCTGTGACGTTAAACCGGTTGCACATGTAAAACTGTCACAAGTGGGTTTCTTTCTTGCATTGCATTGCAGAAAAGTCCCATCTTTGCCTGCATCTCAATTTGTATTTTTCTAATTATTTCTCTGCCTTTTGTTTTAATTAATTATTGTTTCAGATCTAAAACTCAAGCAAAACCCATGGTTCTCCTCCAATAGACTCCAAGTATTGGGCAGTCAAACAAAAACCAAACCAAACCCCCCAAAAAACCAACATCTGGGTGTTGTGCTCTGTTCGTCCAGTTTTTTGATTGGAAACGAACAGAGAGATTCAGAAAGAAAATCGAGATGGGGTTGGTTGGTGTTCCAGAAATTGGAAATGGAGAAATGGGTTTGTCTGGGATTCCATTGGGGACCAAGAACAAGTACAAGAGGATGGATTCTGAGTCCGAGGTCGAGCTCACAGAGGAATACGAGGATGCTGCTTCTCGCCACCATCTTCAACAAATTCGGAGCAAACAAACCAGGAAATATGTCCTCGCTTGCGCCATTTTTGCTTCTCTCAACCATGTTCTTCTTGGCTATGGTAAATAACTACTTACTTTAACTTTTACGTATGCATGTGATCTATATAGATGTATCTATAAAAATGTGTATTCGTTTGTGCGTAATCATGTATTTGTGTATGTACATCCGTTCGTGTGTACAATAATGTCTGCTCTGTGTTTTTCTATACGACTAATATTCTAATTACTTAATCTAAACTACGGGGAGGGGAATTTGAACATGTCTTGAGAGGGGGTGAGTTCAGTTTGTTATTGTTATAGGAAGCTGCTGCTGTCGGCAGACATTATTAGTTGGCATGTATGCTCTGTTAGCATCTGCTTTATTTGGTTAACTGTTGTGCTTAATTGCTTTAAGAATCTTCTGTTCCATTTTATGAATAACTCCAAAACTTATCATACATGACAGCAGAACGATTCGATCTATTTCTGGGGTTTTTTCATTCTTCGTGCTCGACTATAATTTGTCCAAATTTAGTCCCTAAATTAATTTTCTGGGTCTAATAAGTATTGCATTAAAACTTTGTTGGAAAAATTTTCACGTCTTATTGGCAATTTTGTGTACATCTCCTCATTATTTATGTGGGAAAATATTACGGGATTCTCTCTCCTCCTTTTTCTATCCCTTTCCTTCCCCTCCTCTCACAATGCAGCTAACTCCTTGCAACACATTAGTAAACAAAGGAGATGACGGTCATACCTGTTCTCAACGTACCCCATTTTTTAAAGTGTTTGAACAAGGTGACTCTGAAGATATGTGTTTGAATATATACATATATATTTTTTTTAATTGGCAGATGTAGGTGTCATGAGTGGAGCTATCATATTCATTCAGGAAGATTTAAAGATAACCGAGGTACAAGAAGAAGTTCTTGTTGGGATTTTGAGCATTGTTTCGCTTTTCGGTAGTTTAGGTGGTGGTAAAACATCAGACATCATTGGTAGGAAGTGGACCATGGCCTTGGCTGCTGTTGTCTTTCAAACAGGTGCAGCTATAATGACCCTTGCGCCTTCATTTGAAATATTGATGGTCGGAAGACTCTTGGCGGGCATTGGAATTGGCTTCGGTGGCATGGTTGCCCCTGTTTATATTGCTGAGATATCACCCACTATTGACAGAGGCTCACTGACCTCATTCCCGGAAATATTTATAAATCTGGGAATTTTACTCGGCTACGTCTCAAACTATGCATTTTCTGGTCTCCCAGCACATATAAACTGGAGGATAATGCTTGCAGTAGGAATTACGCCTTCAATTTTCATTGGTTTTGCACTTTTCGTAATCCCCGAGTCTCCAAGGTGGTTGGTCCTTCAGAACCGTGTTGATGAGGCAAGATCAGTGTTGATGAAAACAAATGAGAATGAAAGTGAGGTGGAGGACAGACTGAATGAAATACTAGCAGCCGCTGACAATTCCAGTGCGGAGAAGTATGAGGAGAAAAGTGTGACGAGTGAACTAATGAGTCCATCTCCTTCACTTCGTTGGATGCTTATCACAGGTTTTGGAATTCAATGTTTTCAACAGATAACAGGAATAGATGCGACTGTGTATTACAGTCCTGAAATCTTCCAAGAAGCAGGAGTTAAAGATAAACAAAATGTACTTGCTGCAACTGTTGCGGTGGGTGTTACAAAGACTGTTTTTATAATGGTCGCTATTCTCCTTATAGACAAACTCGGAAGAAAGCCCTTGCTCTATATAAGCACGATTGGAATGACGATTTGTCTGTTCAGTTTAGCATTCACTCTATCTGTTCTTGGGAAAGGACAGTTTGGAGTTGTGATGGCAATTCTATTAGTTTGCGGAAACGTAGCTTTCTTCTCTGTTGGAATTGGACCTGTTTGCTGGGTTTTGACATCCGAAATCTTCCCTTTAAGGCTGCGTGCACAAGCAGCAGCACTTGGAGCAGTGGGTAATAGGGTGTGCAGTGGCCTAGTTGCCATGTCTTTTCTCTCAGTTTCCAATGCAATTTCATTTGGTGGAACATTCTTTATCTTTTCTGCATTTTCCTCTCTTTCTGTTGCATTCGTCTACACCTTTGTTCCAGAAACCAAAGGAAAGTCATTGGAGCAGATTGAGTTGCTTTTTCAAACTGAACACGATCGGAAAGGAGGTCAAGTGGAACTAGGAGATGTCGAGCACCTTGTGCAGAAAGGATGATTGATCGGGAAAGCTCATTCGATGAACAGATATATCTTCCACGTCTTACCGTCCTTCAACCGGTTTGAAAAGGGGTACAGCGTTCACACCACTAATGGAACTATTGTGAGTATGAAGTTGCTGGATGTGAATTTCGAAATAGAACCTTGCGCTTGTATAAATAGTTCTCTGCAACCAAATAAGGTAGCTACCAGAGGGAGGCACATTACATGTTTGAGTTGTATTAGGGTTTACAACTATTAGACTTTTCGGAATCAAATTCGTTCACGGTAGTATTCTTACTGTTCTTACTTATCTTTGTATGCAATTTTACATCAATGAAAAATATTAACATTTGAAAGTTTAGCAGAAATATTTTATATGTTTTTAGTGCTTTTGAATTATGAACATCCTTGTTGACCCTAAAGCAAATTACAAAACCTACGTGGCACACAGATTGAGTAATTATACGTTCTTCTATGGTTTGCTGATGCTGGCGTGCCAACTCGCTCGTTATTGAGCTAGGTTGGGCAAGTGAGGTGGATGTGGTGGTGTGGCGATGAAACACGCTATTGACTTCTACACTGAGCAACTTCAGCCCAGGAAGGAACACTCTCGACCTAATTCTGCTAACCCGAGGACAAGGTTATGCCTTTGCTATGAAGTTTAATAATGATTCAGCTTTCAATGTTCAGTGTGCCGAACACTAAAAGTAACTTGGGTAACATCTTGCTTCGTCAAGAAAGCTAATCAATTGACCTTGTTTAGCAAAAGGCCAAATATCCGACTAATTCTACGGCTCCAATGATGTTTAACCAAATGAAATGTGTCGTCAGTTGTTAACACATAGATGTATCCAAACTGAATATGTGTTGACGAATGTTAGAGCAGTTAATGTATTCTCAAAGTGTTAAGAAAGTTTCGTGTAGAGTGTTGTGGGTTGAAGGTCCTTTTCATGTTGCACAGGGCTTTGTATTTGTATGACTAAATCCGCACTAACCTTTGTCTGTTTGTATTGACAATGCTCCAGCATTGCAAAGGCCCCATTAGGGCAACTCACTATTGAATCCACCCTGTGAACAGTTACTGCCTTTTGCATCTCTACCCCTAAACTAAATAACCATGGCAATAGACAATAAAATATTAGTATTTTTTCCTCACCCAATCCATCAGACATCCCCATCACCCTTTTCCTTTTCCCCCTCATTTGACCGGTTCTTCCTCTCTCTCTCTCTCTCTCTCTCTCTCTCTCTCTCTTCTTTCTATCTCTCTCTTCCTTTTTCTTTCTTTCTCTCCCTCTTTTCCAGCTCACTCTTGTGAGCTCTCTTCCTCATTCCTCTTCAAACCTTCAACAAATCAAGCTCAAAAATAATATTTTTGGAATCCCTGGAACTCAAGGAACCCAACCATGGCCTTGCATGCGACATCGGTGCATGGTGCGAGGTCCTACCATTGAAGCCAAGAGCTTGAGCTCTCAATCTCGAACCCAGGTGATGTTTCTATCACTATCTTGTGTTCTTGAGCTTTAAATCCTGTTGTGCTACAATTCTTGTGGTTTAATTCGAGGGCTTAATTCCCTGCATGCATCCCATTCTTTTTCCAGATTCCGATAAAGGAAAACAAATAAATTGGGTCACCCTGATGTCAGCCACACATCACACAGCCCTCAGGCTCTCAAGCCACCAATTCCAGTCGGATCTCTCGCTCAAGCCCCCCCCCCCTTAGCCCACACGCCCACATGGGCTGGAGCTCGTAGCTGGGGCTATTGGGATGGAGAAGTCGTCGGTCCATTGGGCTAATGGTCCCGATCGATTTGCTCTTATTGGAAGACTTATCGACTAGCTTTATCATGATAAAGCCATCACACCTTTCCATCAACCTTGAGATACCATCTTGCTTTCCAATGCCATCTTGCTTTTTCAAATAGCATCTGTGGCGTGTGAACGTGCCCATCAGGCTTGCTTTTTCAAATATGAGGATGGAAAGAGATTTTCTCCGGATCTTTTCTACTAAAATTCACGGATCAAGGAATCCGGGTCTTTGAAATTTGATTCAACGGTTTTTAAAAGGTCAAGATAAACTTTAACAAAATCTTGGAGATAACTACCGAGGCTATAAATAACGCAACAGTACCCACGAAAATTATCTTGAAATTTTTTCAGTCCAACGGTGTAAAACACATGAGCCGATGGCGGAAAAGCAGGTTGAAACAATCCTTTATATGCTTGTTGGGCCTCCTATTGTACCACCCACTGCCATCGCCACTACTACCCCCTGCCAAGACGGAAATAAGGCCAACAGAGGGGAGATAAGGAAGGTGTAGCGTCTCTTCCTTCCCTCCTCCCACTTACACTTTTCTTCCTTTTTTTTATTTTTTATTTATTGATGTTACTGAATCTAGTTCTATCCCGCATTTGAAGGAGCGTGATGCAATCTTCTCATCAATTTTGTCTGGTCATTGTTGTTAGATGCTTTGTTTCGAGGTCATTGAGATGCCACACTCTAGATAGATAGACAACGAAATATCCCTTCTAAATTTAACAATTTGATAAAACAGAGCGTAAAACACTTTGATAGACAATTAGCTAACCCTTTAATGTTCCCAACGTGATTTTATCCAGCTCCTTCCATTCCAGCTACAGTAAAGCGGGATCCTCTTAAGGGCTGGTTTGGTATTGCCATGCTTCGAAAAAAAACTGTTTCTGCTATGCTGTGAGAATAAACTCACTTTTGCTACTCCACGTTTTCAACTTTTTTTTTTTCATTCAAAACTGTGAAAATAAGTTATTTTTAAGTGTTTACCAAACACTTTTTTGAGCTTAGTTTTTTTTATACTACTTTTTATAAAAGTAACTCAGTACCAAACCAATACTGAGAAGAGTCTCGTACCAAATAGTTTGTAACTTTGTTTTATTTATTATTATTTTTCTTCGTGTGATTAGGTTAGGTTCATTCAATGTAAAGACAGCACAACAAATGTGGTCTAAGCACTGACATCATCTAACGACTTATTATCCTCTCTCCAAGTCTCTCTATCTTGTCCAATTTTCTCCTCACTCAAGAGTCCACAGTCTCTTTCTCCATCTCTCTCGGTAATGGAAAATATCCAGCACAAACATGTGGAAGTAAGAGGACTCAAGCTTCACGTAGCCGAAATCGGAAGTGGTACATATGATCCTTCCAGAAGTTGTGATTTGATCTTATCATGACACCGGACGCTTTTGCGAACTTAGGACATAAGAATAATCATTCTTGTATTTGGTTTTATAATTTTTCCGGACGAGGTCATACCTAGGGTTAGTTTTGATTTGTACGGTTTAAAAATTCGTCGAGGATCTTCTTTGTAGTATTCATTTTGTTGTCAAAAGAAAAAAGGAAAAAAAAAACAATGAAATGATGATGAATTTGTGCAGGTCCAAAGGCTGTGGTGTTCCTTCATGGATTTCCAGAAATATGGTACACGTGGAGGCATCAAATGGTTGCTATGGCGAAAAGAAGCTACCGGGCAATAGCCATTGATTTCAGGGGCTATGGACTTTCCGAGCAGCCGGATGAACCTGAGAAGGACACCTTCATTGACCTTGTCCACGATATCGTTGCCCTTTTGGATTCTTTGGCAATTAACAAGGTAATACTATTAACTATTCAGCTACTTGTTTGATAGAATATATACCATTAATGAGGTAATACTATTACCAGTAATTATTTCTGTTGATCTAACTTAAGTAAACACGAGTATCCCATAATCGGAATCCAACTTAGTACTTTGATTCCTCTTATGGATAAGTAAACAAGCAATCAGTACAGATCTGCTCTCATTTCTCTGCGGTATATGTTGTTACACTATTTTAGACAATACTTGCATCCACTTCGTAAGCGCACCTGCAAAGTGTCATGTATATAGTAGATCTACCATACACAAATCTAACACATCCTTGAAGTTAATTATATGCACACATCCTAAAAGAATTTGATTATTGGTACGTACAGACTTTTCTTATTGGGAAAGATTTTGGAGCATTGCCTGCATACTTAGTAGCTGCTCTCCACCCGGATCGGGTATCTGGCGTCGTTACACTTGGTGTTCCTTTCATGCTACCAGGTCCCTCTGCAATCCAAAATCATCTCCTCCCTGAAGGCTTCTACATATCAAGGTGGCAGGTGCGTATATACATTCATTTTTCCATCAATACCTTCAGTTTTTGGCTGATAATTCACACTGTCATGTTCCAATCATTCATAAACTTAATTATTCATCTATGACATAAATCACAATGGTACTACTTAAGTTCTTATTACCTAATTTCAGGAGCCAGGGCGGGCAGAAGCAGATTTTGGCCGCTTTGATGTGAAGACGGTGATTAGGAACATCTACATTCTCTTCTCTAGAAGCGAGATCCCAATAGCTGCCCCTGATCAAGAAATCATGGACCTATTTGACCCTGCAACTCCTCTGCCGCCAGGGTTTTCGGAAGAAGATCTTGATGTCTATGCATCTTTGTACGAGAAATCTGGATTCCGTTATCCATTGCGAGTTCCATACAGGTAGTAACAAAAAATGATTCTATTCTCACAAGAAATGATTTCCTTTCTTTACTCTAGCAGTTAACTAAGATGTGAGTATGTGGTGTGAAGTACTAAAGTCATACTCTTCTCGTCAAACATACGATGCTTATTGATCGAATGACATAGCAGGATCTGATTGATCCATTATCGCCCCACTTTAATTTTATTTATTAGTAACAAGATGCACGTTGACGCACCATTTGGTGATTAAGTTTGACGACTCTAGCGTTACGATGGAGGCATATATGATCTAGTTTTGTCTAATAATGAATCTCTGGCGAAGTATCATTTCACATATAGATTGCCCTTATTGATGCAGAACCTTAGCCGTGGATTGCGGTATAACTGATCCCAAAGTCTCGGCTCCATCTCTGCTGATCGTGGGCGAGAAGGATTACGTCTTAAAGTTTCCGGGGATGGAGGACTACATCCGCACTGGGGCAGTGAAACATTTTGTGCCGGATCTGGAGATTACATTCATCGAAGAAGGGAGCCATTTTGTGCACGAACAACTTGCGGAGAAAGTGAACCAGCTGATCCTCACATTCCTTGACAAACTTGCTATCTGATGAGTAGATGCTCAATGTTGCCAATGTGCCTGAGGAGTGACGACCAATTATCATTTGATGTAGTGATAAATGCTTCTTGAACCAGAAAATATGTTACACGAGTACTATGTGTTGCAGTCATATTTAGAATAAGAATGTGATTGTGTAAATCCTAGTAGATATGGGAATGTATCTTATATTCCTATTAGGAGTTGATTACCTATTAAATATTGTAATCCTAAAAGGAAGGGTTCTTACCTATCCTACTACTATAAATAAAGGCACAATGG